GGGTAGGAGAGCATGGGGGAGCCTCCCCCACTTCCCCACTGCAAAGAAAGTGCTTTAGAATAGCCACAGGACAGTGAGGGGTGCCTGCCCTTGTCCTGAAGGGTCTTGGAATTTCAGCCTAAAGACTATGATAGGTAACTACTGAATAGCTTTAACAGGAAAGAGACCAAAGTGTGTGAAGAGGGCAGGGGCAGAATGGAGGCAGATGATCAGCAGTAATCCAGATAAGAACTACAAGCCACTACTCCACTTGTGGTATTGTGGGTTTTTTGTTTGTTTGTTTGTTTTTGCTTTTAAAATATATTTTTATTGATTTCAGAGAGGAAAGGAGAGGGAGATAGAAACATCAATAACAAGAGAGAATCATTGATCAGCCTCCTCCTGCATGCCCCCTACTGGGGATGAAGCCCACAACCTGGGCATGTACCCTGACCAGGAATTGAACCGTGACCTCCTGGTTCATAGGTCGATGTTCAACCATTGAGCCATGCCCGCCGAGCCACTTGTGGTATTGTAACTGAGGTGAGACAATGAATGCAAAAGGTAAGTTTGAGGTGTTTCATCTTGAAGGGTGTTTGCTGGTTTCTTTCTGAAAGAGCTGCATTTAATACCAGTCTTTGCAGGTGACACTCATCATGATGTCCGCTACTCAAATTGATCATCATTGGGCCTGGTGGCGATGAATAATTCAGAAAGGATATTCAAGTAAAATCTGCAGACGTCTCGTGATTATTTCTGGTATTAAGTTTCATCCTCGTTCATAACCTGATGGCCATTTATGACCGATACTGGGAGTCACAAGATGTCACCACAATCTGACTAGAATTACCGATGTGTCTCATTAAGGAGGATCAAATTGATGCCTCACAAAGAAGAAACAGACAGACACCAAGTCAGGATGATCTTAAATTAAACCTGGACGCCTTTGGGCTTTTGGGCCTTTTTAAAGTCTCTTGAACATTTTTAAATAGAAATAAATTTGGGCTTCACAAAACAAAACAAAAGCCCAAAAGGTAAGTTTGAGGCAAAAATGATAGGCAACTGGTTTGGGTAAGGAAGAAGTTTAAAAATGACTGGGCAACTGAATTGTAAGGATTTATTTAGCAAGCAAATGGAAATAAGAAACTGGGAGGCTCTAGTTAGCCCCCTTTTCAGAGAATTTGGATAATGCTGGAAAAGTAGACATAACTCCCTGAGTTAATGTGCCGTAGCTGGGGGCCTGCTCTATGAGGTAAATGGATAAATGGGTGCCCTTTGGGTGCCACTCTGTAAGTGGTGACCAGTGCAAGTTGAGAGTAGGTGAGCACTTTCTCTGATTCCCATGCCAGGAGGCCTCACTTTTACCTTGTTTCTTCCCTGTTGGGAGTAGACTTTATCCTTAAATTTCCCTGTATGAAAGGCCACTGTGCACTCCTAGGCCTACACCTCTGTCCTGCACACACAGCCTCAACCCTCCCCAACCGCTGGAGACACATCTCTCCCCAGGAGGCCCTTGCCTTGTCCTTATGGCCCAGGCTGTGTCTGTCCTAGAAGGAAAGCCTCATGATTCTAGAAAAGGAAAGATAGAGCATGGACTAGTTTTCACACATGTCATCTCCTATTTTCTGGGCCTTTTGCTTATGCCCTGGGTCTCATGCTTTTGTTAACTGGACTGTTTGGCCTCAGGTTAAGGCCAAGATGCTAGCACACTGGCTGCTTTACTGCTTGGTGCTTATCCACCACTTGCAGGGGCAGGAGTGAGTGAGATGTAGGTTTGGGGAGGGGGTGGGAAGAGCAGCAAAGTCCACTGGTCCAAAATATGCCATTATATAGGATAGTCATTTCTGCCACTTTCCACACGTTAGCAGAATTACAAGACCCCAAAGGCTGCTATAAGATAATTTATTACAGACTAGCCAATAATCTCCTGTAACAATGGCACATACAATAATTAACAACAGCAAATATGCTTCATTTCTTGTTTAATGTAATGACCAGTACAGCTGTGGTCAATGCAGAGTCCTCAGAAAGTCCAGGAAGGAAGTCCAGGAAGCTGCTCCCAAGGATATTAAAGGACCATGTCATTTCTCTGAGCAAAGGCCTGGGAAGCCCACATGACCCCTTGCAAGAGTTTGTCTCTAACCTCCCGGGAGTGTTGAGGCCCTCCTCCATCCAGTCTGTATAGAGGGATCATAGGCCAAGTTTCTTCCAGGGGGCTGACTATCTATGAGGGGGACACAGATGACCTAATGACAGGAGTGAAGTCAAAGGCTAGATTCTTTCTACAAGGGGGAGGACAGCCAGAAGTCAGTGACCGTAAGTGAGGAGAACTCCTTCTAGACTAATTTCCAAAAAATTTTGGCTTTGTTCGGGGCCTACCCAAGAAGGAAATATAGTTCTTTCTCCTGGATCCTTCAACTAGTCCTCAGATGCATACACACAAGAACAGCCTCTCATGTCCTGAAGCATCACTTCCCTTCCTACAGGAGTGAGGTAGAGGGACTCCTGGGAAAGTAGCCTCTGGTACTTGGGTTCCAAAGAATATTCTGCTCAAGGCTCTGAAGCACCATATGAACCTGCTCCTGTTCACGACAGATATGAACTGGGTAAGGGATTAACAGAGCTCATTTCTAGAGGTATCTTGTTCAGTTTCAAAGCCTTTTTCTCACTGGAGGCACACAAAACCAGTGGATTCTGCTCAAGGGACAGTGTGACTTCTATTCTGTGTGCTCCTGCCCTGACTGTACTTCAATCCAGACTACAGGGCTCAGTGATACCTATAGGCTCAACTGACTACTTAGCTAGCCAGGCACAAGCTCCTGGCCCTCTAAACTTGTTCTTCTAGTGACTGGTACATAGGGGTCCAACTGGATAAGGTGCAGTATCGAGAGGGGTAGACATGGGGTGTGGGGTAGAGGTGTGTCTACCAAGAATGGGTGACACTCTCAGAAATGTCTGTCCCTCTCTCTTTATGGAAAATCTCCCTATGCAGTAACACCCTAGCACCACAGACCTACTGGTCAGGGATTCATGACCCTTTCTGTGAAAAGCCAAACTTCCATCACCCCAAAGTTTCCTTAAATTTCTTTAACTGAAGAAGTCAGCCTCTTAACTATGAGGACCTAAGCTGGCTACATAGTAACTCCCACTGGCCCTGATTTGTGGAACTGGTGCCATCTGGTTGGCACAGGAGCTCAGGTGCTCAGCTCCCCTCCTCCAAGGAACGAGACTCCGATTTGAGCTTCACAAACTCTCGAGCCACTTCGTCATTGCTCCTCTGAGACAGAATCCGGAGAATGGTCATGCCTGTCTCATCCATGTGGATCTTCCGGCCCAAGGGGCACCAGCAGGCACAGCTGCCCTTGGCTGCCACATCCCTCAGAGGCATCACAGCCAGCCCTAGAACACGATCCTCTCGGGCAAAGCAGTAATCCTTCACACAGATTTGCAATTCATAGGCTTCTGGCCCCTCTTCATTTCCCAGGAGGCTGTGATCACAGGGTAAGTGGAAGGTAGGAGGCCAGAAATGAGGGGATCTTCAACTGAATTCACCCCAGCTGCCATTCAGCCCATCCCTCCTCTCCCCGCTCAAGTCTTACCTCCCAGTTCACCCCCATCCCACAGTCCTGCAAATCCCCATCCCATAACTTACAAGTGAAATGTCTCATTGTACTTGGGGGCCCAGTTGTTGCTTTTTGACTTGGTTGTGAACTTCCTCTTCTTATCACTTTGATGTGGGCCAACCATGGTCACTTCCACAAAGGGTCGGAACATCCCCGCTGTCTGCCACCTGAGGTCATTAGCAGCCACCACTGCCCAAACAAAGGGAACTTGTGAGGGATTGCACCAAGGGTTCCCAGTTCTTGAGCCCCAGGTGGCACTCCTCGTAGAAGAGGGCCAAGCTGGAGGGCTGGGTTTAACAGGCTCTGCTTTTGACTGATGAGGCCACTGAGCAAGAAAAGGTGTGAGACCTGTAAGTCAGTGCCACTCACCTTTCACTGTGACCTTGTGCTCTCCAGTTCCAGGATGTGTAAACAAGTCCACCTGAATAGAGACTTCTCCAACAGGATCATCCACACCAGACCCTGAGGGACAGATGGACACATGATCCTCCACTGAAGAAGATTTTAGGCCTAATTGTTCCAGATAAAACAGGAGTTAGGAGGCCACCACCCTATACCCTCAAGTGAGAAGCAATCACCCACAATAGCCATGGGGAAGTAAGCATGGGAGAAGTGAATAAAAGGGGATAAAGAATGAGGCTGTGTATTAAAATATAAGTTAGGCTGACAAGATATTATGCAAAACTTCTTTTAAAAATGCACGGGGGGGGGGAGGTTGGGGGTTTAATGGGGGGGATGAGGACACATTTGTAATACCGTAAGTAATAAAGAATTTAAATAAATAAATAAATAAAATAAAAATGCACCAGGAATCTCTCAGGTTCCTCAAACCTCTCCTATTTCCTAGGCTGCAGATGTTGGAGAAGGAGAGTGCTGCCACCCTGTGTCTTTAGAAACTATGTCCATCCCATGGTCTTAATGGAACAACGTGGGTCCCTTTTAGCCAAAAGCAGTAACCTCCCACCTATCCCTGGATTCCTGGAGACCCCTGCTTGGGAGGCTGCTCTGCTCAGAAAGACTTTATCCTACTCAAATTTGGACCTCTCCACAAACAGCTCCCCAGTCTCAATGTCTGGCCCATTAGAAGGTTCCCTTAGCAGAGGCCTCACTCTATTTTGAAAAAACACCAGTACCCTCAACCCAGATAAAACTTCTTTGTCCTAAGGTGGAGGGAAGGGATAATTCTGAGGACAGACTATTGCTAACCCCATCTCAGACTGTATGAATACAACGCCCATCTCTGAGACTTGGGATAGAGCTTCTGAACTTTGACACCTAGTTTCTCCACTCCAAAAATAAGCAGCTCATGTTAGTTCACAGGTGACAGTGTTAGGCAATGTTAGGTTCATATCTGCATGGTTTATAACATACCCTTTTCCGGCCGAATGTCCTCATTAGCAGTAAACCTAATACCTTTCCCATCATGCACTGAGTGAGGACAGGAAAGTCAAGAGGTAGTAGCAGCAGTCGGACAGAGAAAGAAGAATCAGTTAGTGGTCTAAGGAGTTAACAGCCATTCAGAGCAGCTCTACACATATTCTGAGGGAGCACAGAGATGGGGCAGGATGGAGAGAGAAGTAACAAAGCTGGGGTCAGTGCCTGAATACTCCAAATCAGACTTCATGGGTCAAAGATCAATCAAATCATAAGAGAGTGAAGGTACCTAAGCCCAAAAGAAAGGCTGTAGGCTCTAATTTCCTAGGCTCTTAAGTAAATAAAGCAAAGGGTAGAAAAATATACATATAAACTCAGATCCTCCCTGCAGTCCTCACTCCTACTCTTACCTCATATCTGTCTATTCCAGCTTCTGCTCATCTTTATATTTAGCTTAAAGCTCAAAGTTGTTTTGTGTTTTGTTTTGTTTTGTTTTAAAAGCCTTTCTGGATTAACTCAGATCCTCCCTAATGTTATGGATCTTTACATGTACTCAGCTCTATAAAGGTTTTCTTTGTCCCCTTAAGCAAGGTTCATAACTTCTTTTACTTCCTCTTCTTCCCACCCTAGACTTGAAATAAGAACAGATGTGAAAAATGTAGTACTGTGGGTCTTGTGTATCTTTTCACCTTCCATCAAGTCCATCTAACTGCTTAGACTCCTCTTCCCCTTCAGGTCAGCTTTATACTCCAGATCCACAGCTCAGTAAGGCCCAAGCCTTCCCAATCCCTCCTCCACCAGCTTCACTGCCCCAGGAAGAATGCCCAGGTTTCCCTGGAACAAACAATAATAAATGCACCTGAAGGTCCTTCCTGGGAGGGCCCTTCTCCAAGGTCAAGGTCAGAATTTAGCCATGTTTATGCAGATGTGTTTTGTTATGGATAGGCCTGACTGGAGGCAGGGAGGGGTTTTGAGGACTGGATGTCACTAGGAGAAAACCAGCTGCCTGGGTCCCCTGTGCATTAGCATCACCCATGAGGCTGGAGCTCAGCTATGTATGTGATCTGCACCCTTTCTTCAACTCTCCTATGGCTGCCTCTCTTCTTGTTGTCCATGCTGGAGAATCTGGAAAGTCTTTTGCTTTCTATGCCCAGGACAACTTCCAACAAAGATTCCCAAAGCAATGAGTCCTCATGAGTGAGTGTCTCAGTCACTCGTTCGCTAGGCTTGCTCACAGATTTTTCCCTACCAAACAAGGTATACCACTTGAGCTCCATAAACATGCACTGGACAGGCAATGTCTAGGAAAAAAATCTCAGGCACATTTTCCAGGTCCCTGTGATTCTCCTGTCTGGTCCTGAGTATGAGGTGGGGATAAGTATTAGGGTTCTTCAAGAAATCCTGGGGTCTGAGTTTGAAGGGATCTATGAAGAAGTACCTGTTAGAGAGATGTAAGAGCTAGAGGACACTAACTCCATAGGGGCAGAGAAAGATCAGGAAAGGGAGGCAGTGACCCAAAGCCCTTAGTCTTACCCTGGGCAGTCTGTGAACGCACAAAGGTTTTGATGAGTGTATCTGTGGTCTGTGTGTACAGAGATAGTGCATAGCGTAGGGACTGCAGATCTGGGCTCTTCTCCAGGAAGGTTTTTTTCAGCCCATTGCCTCCTGCATGAAAGTATTGCTGAAAAGCAAAAAGAGTACTTGCTACTGCCTCATGCCCTTACAGAGAGGCAGTTCCCCAACAGTCCTCAGAGAAATGACACCTGAGGTTCAACGAAGATGTCGGAAGAGGATGGTGAGAACAATAAGTCACTCAGTAAACAACAAGATCAGGAGTCACATCTCCCAGGGAAAGAGTATTATTTGGGTCTCTGG